ATATATAATACGACCAATAAATTTATCTATAGTCAACGCCAAACAAAGTGGCGTGCACGTCATCACGATAAAAATTCCCCGACCTAATGCCTAGGTTTCTATCACAAACAATTGCTCTATTGCAGTTTCATATTAATGTGATATATAAATTGTAAAATGGTCATTACTCTCTTATTATGGTTAATAGTCATATAAACATTGTTATTAAAATATCACATAAGTTGCTTTCTGATAAATTTAGACGCATTATGCGAAATAAAATGTTTTGCAAACGCTCCAATCACTTATCGACATGTAAACGCACTAAACCGATTTCGCAGCGTTGACACATTGTCACCTTGAAACTTATTTAAACTGGGAACTGACATTTGTATTAATTTTGACACTGAATCAATTTGTGGCATTTCAAATCTTTATAAATCCTTTGGCCCCGCATACTGTAAATCAACAACTGTTTGTTTCAAAACAAAATTATTCATTTTACGAGTAGATAAAGGCAATTTTGGTATATAAAGATGCCCAAACAGTTAAATAGTCGGTGTAAGGAACTCGTGGCCTCGTTAATGCACTACTTTGAGCAAGAAAGGGACAACAACGGGCCTTTGTTGCCTTTAAATGCTGTTCAAGAGGTAGGTTACTAATAATTATATGTAATGTATATTAATAATAGTGAAATTTTATTTCATTTTTTGTAGCGTGTTGCTGCTGCTTTAAAAATTAGTTTAAGGACAGTTAGTCGTATTTCCGAGGGTGTGAAAAGTGATGCAAATTTAGAATCGCCCAAGAAAAAGCGGAGTTATATTAAACGTGTAACCAACACAGCGACATTGGATACAAGTGCCATTCGAGAAGTGATCTATAATATGTATCACAAAAGTAAGATCTTATTATAATAACTTATCAGAAATTTGCATTAATTTGTTAACTAAATTATAATGTCATATTACCCATGGTTTCAGAAGAACAAGTTACGATACAAACTTTATGGTCTCGATTAAGAGATAGGGCATTATTTGATGGTAGTGCCACGTCTTTAAGGCGGTTGCTTAGAGATCTTGGATTTAAGTGGCTTAAGGACAATCCGCGACGAGGGCTCATGGAACTACCAAGTATAGCTTTGAAAAGGGTGGAATTTCTAAGGCAATACAATCAAGCCAAGGTTGAGGCCTTATACCAGTTTGTCTTCCTCGATGAAACTTGGATATTTCAAAATGGGACCATAGGTCGCTCTTGGCAAAATGGAAACCAAAAAAGCGTGAAAGCTATTAAAACAGATGGTAAAAGGTATGTACTTTTACACAATTTGCACTATAAAATTTAAAACTAATATATTTTAGATACATTATATTACATGCTGGAAATGAAAATTGGTTTATTGAGGGTAGTGAAGCGATATTTTCTTCGAAAACAAAATTGAGCGATTACCATGGAGAGATGAACCAGGACAATTTTTTGAAATGGTTTCAACATCAGTTATTAGAAAAATTGGAGAGTCCATCTATGATTATACTGGATAACGCCCCTTATCACAGCATGATATTGAACAAAGTGCCCAACAATGCATGGACAAAAAAAAATATCCAAGACTGGTTGACAAATCAAAACATACCATTTTTAAACACAATGTTTAAAACAGAGCTATTGAGTATTGTTGCTCGGTACATAATGCTTCTTAATTATATATATTTTGGTCGACAGTTTATATTTCTTTTGTTTATTCCTATTCTTAAAATAACTGCTTTTTTAGAAACAAACCACCTAAAATATACATACGTGATTGATGAATTGGCGGAACAACATGGGCACAAAGTTCTTCGTCTGCCTCCTTACCATTGTATATTTAACCCTATTGAGTTAATTTGGGGCATAGCAAAAGGTTACTATAACAGACATATTGGTAGAGATGGTAACAGTGAAAAAGACTGTTTGGATATGTGGAACGAGGCTCTACAAACGGTTACCCCAGACATGTGGAAAAATAGTGTTCGACATACTGAGCAAGAAATTTTTAAATGGTATGAAAGAGAACGAATTTTTGATCGACCAGACATCGAACCTTTAATAATCAACTTTGAGAGTGATGAAGATTCAGATTCAGACAGCGCTGAAGAAAGAAACTCCGACTAACTTTATTGTACAGAAAAAGCTTACCCTAGTAGCTTACCTAATTTTAGAATGCATTTTTCTGTATGAATTCTGTAAAATAAATACCATGCATAAAATTTGGAGGACCCCATTTGGATTTTTATTCAGTACCTTTAAGCTATCAATTAAATATGGTAGTTTCATAGTGTCATCTGATCAATAATTGTCATACTTAATGATTATGCAAGTACAGATCTATAATTTTATTATACTATTATTTTTGTTCTCATTTGAGGTTAATATTGCTTATAAACCTAGATATGTAAATAATAAATTTTATTATTTTACAAAAAGTTTGGCAACAATGTAAATTTTTCAACACCCACCTTGATGACGTGCACGCCACTTTGTTTGGCGTTGACTATACACCTACATCTAAATCCCTGCTGAAGTCTATGAACAGAAATGATATAAATTATGACCTGGTTATTGCAGTCATATGTATTCATGACTATTTCGATCATAAAATGAATCGCGTTGCAAAAAGAAATCATAACAGTAATAAGCCACTGCTTATCAATAAACTCAACGAATAATGCCATTACACGTTGTCATAAAACCGCCTTTTTGTGACAAAATGGGCAACCTAAAATGACACCCACAACTGAAACGTATGAAAAAAGGCACTGCCATCCCTCGGATATCAATAAACTATGCCAAACCAAGTCTGAACGTTCCATTTGAATAAGTTGATTGATTTTATAGCCCGTCTTCGTAACAATTATTGTCTTTGGGACGGTTACTGTAGTTTGTGAACGTGTGCAAAAAGACGCTCCTCTGCTGGTGTGGTGCCAGTGTAGGTGGAATTAACTGAGATACTCCAAGGCCTGTAGCTAGACGCGACATTTTTTCATGACTTCAAGTTTTTTACAATCTGGCTTGAAAATAGTGAGGGATTCAGGAATTTATGAGGACACGGAGGGAATGTATTCTGTGATACATCCTTATCACTTCATTTTCTCATTCAGTTGAATTCCGCAATAATAAAATTTACGTATAATATACAGGGGGTCCCAGAACTTGAGAGCAATATTATGGATAATCCAATGGATTATGCTGACAGAAAAGATATGTTTGCTGAAAGTCTTATCTTCAATCAGATTGGGAAAAAATTACATCCACGACTATGTGGTAATCCCTCAATGTCGTCGCGGATGCTCTCCATAGATCGGCTTTGGAGCCAACACGACCAATGAATTCTATCCACACTACACTTTAGTGCAGCTCAATAATTCATATTCCACTATTTAGAAAATGGCGTCAAGTAGGTTGACTCTGCACTCATCTTCAGTTAATAAAGAATTAATATTGTAAGAAATCAGTTAACTACGAACATGTATAACACAATTAGTCGATAGTCCAAACAATATGAGAACGCTGGGGTCTAGAAACTTTTTCCCTACTCTTACTGAAAGTATCGAACGTCTGGGAACGTGCTATGTTCGCCTGCTGGGAGCAGTGTTTACTTTCATCCTCTCTATGGCTTACGCCAGAGTTCCCCAAACTTTTTTGTGTCGTAGACCCCTTGCCATGTTTTTCCGTGTTGGGTAGACCCCCTACTTACCTGATATTGATTTCCTGTTAATTTCTAATTGTAGTGAAGTTTAGTGTTAAAAACTTAAAGTAAAAACACATGTTAATTTATACATTTATTAATTGAATTTAAATTAAAACTGCTCAAAATAAAATTTTGTATCTGTTATGTAAAATATACGTAACATTAAATAAACAGGTGTCTGACCAATAAGTGCCCGCATTGGGAATAAGTGCCCGCATTGAAAAAAAATAAGGGGGATAAAATAAAAAAAAGTGAAAAATAATAAAAAAAAAGTTTTTTACTTAGAATAGTACAATAAGCGAGTTCGTTTATTAATTATAACATAAACGTATGTTCTACAATAATTATTTCACTGTTAGTTTGATTAAATTCCGCTTCTTATACGTTTAAGTTATCTAAAAATAGGCAAAAAATTAACGAATTTTAGTGTGTACCTATCCTTGAATTTTCAGAATAATTTAAAAAAAAGATTTTTTATAAAGGGGGGTTCTTTAAAAAAATCAATGCGGGCACGTATTCCCAATGCGGGCATTTATTGGTCAGACACCAATAAATATAAAATAAACTATAAATAAAATAACATAAGCAATAAGTCAATATTTTTAATGAGAAGGATGAACCTGATGCTTTAATAATAAATTATCAACATTTGGCGTCAATTTTGTAAGGGTTAATCTTAAATCTCCTCGACTAATGATGTCCAGTCTGTTTCTTTTTTTGGTTAGGAGATTGGTAACAGCGCTGAACCCCCTTTCCACTAGGTATGACGATGGAAATCTTGTCAAACATAAGCCTTTCAACAGCCAGCGTACTTCAGTGTGAAGGAGTAATTGATGAAAGTGTTCGTCATTTTACACAACTGCGCAAATAACCGCGTATTCAACGCGTTGGTTCTGATTCGGTTTACTGCATCAATGACTAACTGAAGTGATTCATGCAATCTAACACTCAAATTTTTAGCAACTAAATGTTGTCGATGGATGACGCAATGTAATGCTACCACCCCTGACACATTTTGTTTTAAATAGCTTATAAATCCACGATAACGTCCAACCATGGCAGGTGCTCCATCTGTAGCTACTGATATTATATTTGATAAGGGAATTGCTTTTTCAATGAAGTAATCCTTCAAAATATGAAATATTGATTCACATTTAGTGTCGGTTATCAAAGTTCTTGCGAGTAGGTAGATTTCTTGATTCATAATAAAACGAACATATGCCAATAATAATGCTGCATTATCAGGTAAAGTTGACTCGTCCAGTTGTATAGAGAAATGGGTCGTTTGCAAATAATTTCATAAGAAGCTTTCAATATCAGAACTCATTTCATCAATAAGTCTTTCAACAGTATTGTTGGTTAAGGGAATTCTTTTAATGATATCAGATGCAGGTTTGTGTAAAACAGTTTTTAAAACCTCTTCAACGGCTGGCAAAATTAACTTCTCTCCGATAGTATGCGGTTTTCCGGATTTTGCTATAAGTAACGAGATATTGTAAGACGCCCGCAAACCATCATCATTTCTTTGTGACGTCGAAGCGAACATTCTGTCCAGTGTAGGTCTCTTCTGAAATTTATCTTTGAGTGTTTGAAAGTATTTCAAATCTTTCTCTGTTTTATCAGGGTGGTATCTTCTCAGATGATCTTGCAGTTTAGATGGTTTCATAGCGTCATTGCCCAAAACTTTGTCGCATAAAAGGCACATAGGCGATTGTTTGTCCGGCAATGATGGAATGAAGCCAAATTTCAAATAATCAACACTGTACTGTCTACATTTCTTTTTAGATTTGGACATGGCATCAGTCATCTGTGGGCAAAATTAAATTATTTAAATAAGACAGAAAATCCAGCAGCTGTATATTAAAAATATTTTCTGATTTTTCCGAAAACATTCCATAATTCGAACATCTTCTTACAACAATTAGCTCGAATTACGGAGATTGCACTGTAATTATATTACCGATTGCTAAAACTTTCAAAAAAAAACTATTGAGGAGTACAGGTGTAATTTTGCATGATTGAATATTAAACTACTAATAACTAAAGTCATGATTGGCGTAATTTATCTGTATTTGCTAACTACGAGTACAAAACTAAAAATTTAATAAAAAATAATGTACTTACTTTTTTCCAGCACTCTCAAACAAAATAACACTGACTCACTATAATTTGTGTGATATACTATCTGTTTATATTTTTCTAAATATTTTCTTAGCACTTTCCTCTGCAAGATTCAGGAAACGAATAAACGTATTTGTCCCACATTCGTATTTATAGTGTGACGAATTGAACAAGTCAGTGCAAGGTAGCGAAGCTCTGAGACTGCGACTCTCAGGTTTTTACAAGTTCAAAATGTATTGCGACCACAAAGCGTATACCAACATCCTACAACTTACACAATTTTATAAACATATATAATAAATTTTTTCCTTCATAGGTACTTTTATAAATAATGTATATGTTTTGATATTATAAGATAATATGATGTAAGTAAATAGGTACTATCAGTGTATGTGTTGAGATCCACTATCGTGGACCCCCATATTCATTTCATGGACCCCCAAATTTTTTTTCGCTGTCGTAGACCCCTTGCAGGTTATCATAGACCCCTAGGGGTCGATATAGACCACTTTGGGAATCAATGGTTTACGCATTTAGGTCTTTTAATTGTGTTTATGTGGTTTTTAAGAGTCCAAAAAGTTCAAAAATTGATGAGTGGTCAGCTTCTTGTAAGGTAATGTTCAAATTGATAGTTTTATATTATTGCGAGTATGCGCGGCCCTTCTAAATAAGAATATACAATTTTTTCCAAAACATTTTAAAAAAATGCGAAAAAGTTGTCTGCTTGCAGTTTTTGTATAATATATTTACTCTTTTCATTTAACCATTTTTCATATATTTAAATTTTCCAAATCGCACGACCTGAAGACGTTTTTTTGCTCTTCAGTTTTGAATCTGCAGCACTTTCCTTTTGATACTCCCTCCCCCCTCCAGACGGTGCTGTTGGCTATGCCCATGGGGGATGGCAAAATATTCATGTAACATCATTAGTGCGTAAAGATTCCGAACTTTTTTGCCATTTGGCAACCTTTTGCTACTCAAGTGTTGGTAACACTTTTTAGCCAACAGGATTTTGTGGATACCGGGGTAAGTTTGTAACGTACGGCAAGTACGAGGGCGGTTCAATGAGTACCCGTGTTTGACGGCAGAGGGCGCTCCTGAGTGAAGTTAATGTTATCGTCGTGTGCTTCCATCTATCAAACGACGGTACAACAAATTTCAGACTGATTGATAGGTTAGTTTGGATTTGGCAGCATTCGAGTAACACGTGTTTCGTGATTTTCGCTAAGATGGAAAAAGAGCAGTATGAAGTGCTGCCGCACCCCCTGTATTCACCCGATCTAGCTCCCTGTAACTTTGTCTTGTACCCTGACATGAAAAACGAGGAAGTCATCGCCGAGACAGTGTACCTTTCTAAACAGGGATTATGTTGTATTTTTTTGGAAAAAATAATGTCTTCATTTCTAACACGGGTACTTATTGAACCGCCCTCGTATGACATACAAGCGACATGTTTGATATTTCTCCAAATGTATGGGAAATATATATAATATTTGAACTAATAGGTGCGTAGAATTAGCGGGGTGGAAAGCATACGAATATGCTACCGATAAAAGGGCCCTACAGACCCAGCCCCAACAAAGATTTTTCCGAAAATGTTCAGGGTGAAAAAACGAATTATGAGCGATTTTTTGCCCTTTTCTTCGCCGTCGCTGGACCGATTTTCAAAATTTGCAAAGCCTTTTCGTTGTTGGCATAGTAGTAATATTATCTTGAAGATTTGATCCAAATCAGAACAGTACTTTCCAAATTATAGACGAGTCAAGGATTTGCAAACTAACCGACAGACAGTGACATCTATTTCGTGATCTACATATCAGAAAACATCCATAAAACGTAATATATTATTTTCAAAATGTTTAGCGATTACAATACTTCCTCGCCAGGCGGCGTGGGAAGTTAAACTGCTCGCTGATTTATTTGATATGCATTTATTGAAGAAGTACTGCTTCGGCAGCCCAAAAGACCCAGGTTATAGCCGCAAAAATAAGTACTTTTTATCATCAATAATCAATACGCACTTAGTTGATTTAACTTATTTACATCAGGTTAAAAATACTCATTAGACTTCATTCATTGAATCCGCCGAGACGCTCACGTCAAAGCGGACATGAACGACTAACGTGCAGAAAAGAGAAAAGCAAATTCTCTGGTCTGCATACAATTCAGCTGTCAAACGTCGTAGGAACGGCTGTCCAGGCTCTCGCAAGACAGGACTGCACACGAGGATGCGCGTATTAAAAGCGCACAATTTGCTTACCTACGGTCTAAGATACAGTTGGTTTCCATACTGGAGAACATGACAGCCGCATCTTCGTCCTTCTTCATACTATGGTACATTCATTCAACGAGAAACACTCAGGAATGGCTGTGATGCCCAATTTTGTTCCTGTTAGGCAGTGCTTATGTAGCTGGGGATCAAACTGTCAAAAGTCGATGAAAGAAAAACAGATTTAGGCTGTTAGGCTTGTTGGTCTACGTGATGTTCGTGTCGTATTCGTATAGTCTTTTCAACCAGCTCTTGAGAAAATTTTACAAATGAACGAGCCGCCGTTACAAACCCCCCTCCCCCCTCTGCTTGTGGCACAGTGGCGTGCGTTCTGTGTCAGAAGCAATGATACAGCACTCCCTTTGTTATTTACGGTGAAAGCTATATTGTATCTTTTTCTATATTACACGTGATTTCTACGTAGCAAGAATACATAACTGTATTATGTAAATTTTACGCTGTTAGTATGTATTGTAAAAACAAAAAAGAAACATACATATTAGGGAAATATTTGCATAAAATACGATTTACAGGCAATTTTTAAAATGTAGGTAATTCGGAGTGCTAAACATGACAGTCAAAAAGTCCTGAAGTGTCTTTGGTTGAAAATTGCCTGGGTATAACCCTGAAGCCTGAAAAAGATTTCTACCAACGTGAAACGATGTTAGCAGGTTCCCATCTTCGAGTATTGCAGCATGACAAGCGCTTCTTAACGCTGCCCCGCCATCGAAGTGACAGGTACAAGAATAAACATAGAAGGACGTTGAAAAAATCAACGGGAGAACACAATGGCGAGGCACAATTGGTAGTGGCAGAGGTGATAAAAATCAAGGAGGCGTAAGTCAAACGGAAAACAAAAGCAAGTTGATTTTTAAGAAAGCCGATGTGGTACGCTCTTGACTATTATTTATAGTAGGCTTTGTTGGTACGATAATGATAAAGCCAGTGGGTTGACCATTGAGAATTGTGTTTTAGGGGTATATGGTTACGGTCTTTGGTTACTCCGGATTACAAACAAGGTTATTGGGCCATTTGTTCCATGTATCGTAGCTTTTGTGTGTTTGTTCAGCTATAGTAGTTGGAGCGTGATGAACTAGCGCCAATGGTCAAACTAAGCGGAGGAAGTCTTGAAGAAAAAATCCCTGGAACATTTTAAATTGGGGACTGTCAGTATGACAAATGCTATGGCTGTGCCAGAACGTCTATTCAGGAGAGTTATTTTGCTCGAACAATTGTGGACGCCTCTGCAATTATGGTATACTCTTTGTGGCGACGTAGCTTCCAAATAACAGAAGCTATTTTGATCTTCGATTAAAAACTTTAATATAGGCAATATTCACAGCTATAATACAAAAACACATATTCAATATTTTAAAGTTAACGCAGTGCTGAGCACGCGTGAGATAACCAAACAATATTACTTTCTAAGACATCTCTATCATAAACGATAAAGCAAAAAACGCCTAATGCAACTTCTAACTTACGTTTAACTAGCTGTCAATCAAAATCTTGGTGAAGAGATATGCATCAGCTCAACGTTACACTTTTTTTGACGGCTTTAGATAAAATTCCAACCACTAAAACAACACTGTATAATCCAACGAATGTGCGAGGTCTGTAAATTAAGTAACGAGTAAAATATATTTGTGGTTAACCTTCAATCGACTCTCTGCCTTCTGAAAATGCCTTAAGCCACCGTAATAACTGGGCTCTTGACAAAACACTATCTCCGTAGCACACCGTTGCTTGAAAACTATGTCACTCATTTCTAGATCACAACAGAAAAGACTTATTCACTAAAAAAAATTGCAACGCACAACCAAATGACTCGAGCGAGTTCAGACTTCTACTGAAGGCGGATCACATGTTGCCCTCCAAGCCCGGCATCTCCAGTGTTGCCAGATCTAACGCTACTTTGCCAGACTCGTCACTTAATTTACAGACCTCGTATGGCGGTATGGCAGCTACTTGGAGTAATGAAATTCATACAAAACAAGAATTTTATTTGGTTACGGGTACGGATAATACAATATTACTACTTTTTATTCCTACAAAGTTTAATGTTGTTTGATTCGAGAAAAATGATAAATGCTTAAAGCTTGATTATTACAATAATGATTTATATGCTTTTTGTGTCGCTGGTCAAGCTAAGTTTCAAAATGGTGGAATCGGTATATCGGTAAAGTAATATCTACCGAAACAACACTTTCTCTCAAAAAGGCCTCATTTTATCAAAATCAAACAAATATCATTTTGCTTCCCACACCACTGACGAGGAAGTATTGTAATAGCAGCAAATTTCGAAAGCGAGACAT